AAAATTAATATAATAATAATTTCAACAAAAGAAATAATAATCAGTGTAATTATTAAAAGCATATGCAAGAAACAAAAGTACTAATAGGAGCAATTTTCATATACATGTACTGTGAAAGAATTATTTTTCACTGGGATTTAAAATTTCACGGTTTTGATATATATTTTGAGTTGTGAATTCATTGGTTTGTTCATTAAACGATATGTTGTTATAAATTTTACATATTCATGTGTACTCAATATTTAATTAGCAACAAATTTATAAAAACCAGTGAAAAAATAAGTGCATTTACTGTAACCATACGTTCAACACAATCATAAAATACAACTTGGATTCAAGGACATATATTTTGGTTTATTGAAGTAATATATTTACGTATTCCAACATATGACTAAATTTCCATGGCAACTGTGACGTAAATTTAAGGGGAATGACTTGTTGTGATTTAACGATTTATAGAAAAACTTAATGGGCCTATATACTTTCTTTATGTGGATAGTAAATTATTTTGAGCGACTATAACACCAAATACAGGTCCATAGAATATACTTCTGTTGACTATGGTTATTATTAAACTTAGTAAACTTTAATTTGAATACTGATTAAGTCATTTCTATTGAATATTTCAGTGCAATGTGATATTACCCATAATGCAAGAGAACATCAGTGTCTCTGTCAATGTCACTGGTCAGTTTGTTGACAACACTGGCCAACTTGTTGTCACTGGTCAATTTGGTGATGTCATTAAACAACTTGTTGATATCACTGGCCAACTAGTTGTCGCTGGTCAATTTGGTGATGTCATTAGCCAACTTGCTGATGTTACTAGCCAACTTGTTGATGTCACTGGCCAACTTGTTGATGTCACTGGTCATTTTGGTGATGTCACTGGCCAACTTGTTGATATCACTGGCCAACTAGTTGTCGCTGGTCAATTTGGTGATGTCATTAGTCAACTTGTTGTCACTGGTCAATTTGGTGATGTAATTGGCCAACTTGTTGATGTCACTGTGTAAAACTTGTTGATATCACTGGCCAACTTGTTGTCACTGGTCAATTTGGTGATGTAATTGGCCAACTTGTTGATATCACTGGCCAACTTGTTGTCACTGGTCAATTTGGTGATGTAATTGGCCAACTTGTTGATGTCACTGTGTAAAACTTGTTGATATCACTGGCCAACTTGTTGTCACTGGTCAATTTGGTGATGTAATTAGCCAACTTGTTGTTACTGGTCAATTTGGTGATGTCATTAGCCAACTTGTCGATGTCACTAGACAAGTTGTTGATGTTACTAGCCAACTTGTTGATGTCACTGGTCATTTTGGTGATGTCACTGACTAACTTGTTGATGTCACTGGCCAACTTGGAAACTAATGGAGACCTCCTTAAAACGTCCCTAGGCATTTTGGGTAACATTAAATTGAGCGTATATTTGAAATTAAGAAAATAGAATAACCAAAATATAAAAATGGCATATCATAGGTATTATTATTCAATTTGAAAATAAAAATTTTATGTTATTCTCTTTCAATATATAATGAACGTAAATTCCAAATCATATCAACGTTATACAGTTTAGAAATGTCTTCTGACACACGTGACCTTTCAGTACACATGCACGACCTTCTAGGGTCACATGCACAATCTATTAATATCATGTGTGTAACTTTTGAGTTGTTAAGGCAGCCTTTTGTGGTCATTAAACATGATATTAAAGTCACATCCAAATTGTAAATTCTGTTTATGTTAGTATATGACAGTAAAATATAAACTTTCCATTGTTGACTATAAACAAGAAAAGGAAAATGACACATTAACTGTTTAATAAAATGCTGATAACATGTTTGATATATATTCATATGAACCGAACAATTTGACATGCTAATGTTCTCCTCCATACACTACACATGACAGAATGCTGTTAGGAACTTGGAGTCAAATCATCTTTAATGCACTGTATATGGGGTAAAATACTTTACATCCCAGTTATTAGTTTCTAATGATAGGAAATCGTTGGTTTATATGAGGAGGGGAAGGGGCTGAATCAGGATTGTTAACTATTAGATACGATTGCATGCAAGACATTGCAATCACGGTACTGTGCTATGCTATGATACTGCTAATGATATGCACCGAGACAAGCAGGTGATGAGTACTGTACATGATGCTATCAAAACCATGCTGTATTATACACCGCCTCCCACACACTGTGAATGAATGCCATCCATCAACCTAACACGCACTGCCACAACCCATGCCATATAGAGATGGCACCACCAAGTGTCAAGATGTTAGATTCTTTTGTTTTTATTTTGTCAATAAATTTTGCAAATAGCAGCAGTTGAGATGACAAAAGCAAAGGAAAAAATAAATAAAATAACTTGGTGTTAAGATATAAAGAAATGAAACATTTGCACCACAGTATTGCCTCTTTTAAAATTTCAAAACAAACTCAGCATCACTGAATTACTAAATACTTTCCTAAATTCCATAAAAACCTATTACTAGAACCAGCGATGGCAGTTAGGCGTATTGCATTAACCACAAGTATTTACAATTTATGTTTCTGATCATGTACTACACTATAAATCAAATTTTAACATCTTCAAATATTAAAATTAATGGTCATCGTTTGTGCCATCAACTTACACATGTACTGGCAGCCAGACTTTGGACTAGGAACTGTACAGGACTCGTCGCGTGCCGAATTATTTCCACAGCGTGGTCATGAGTTGCAGTCCTAAGATCATTACCATTAACCTAAAAACAAACAAAAGTTATACAATAAGTGATTAAATCTGTCAAAAATATGGTTACAGTAAATTTAATTTTTACTGAATTTCTTTTTCAATGAAAAAATAAAACGGTCGAGCCTTCAGTTATTTATTTATTCATTCACTTTTATAAAACAATTAATGAACTATAATTTTTTTTACTAAGCAGGTATCATTGATTATCATTTAGGGCGCCCTCATAAGCAGCTATCACAAGTTCCTTTGTTAGCCATCTTGCTGTCAAGTTTGTTACCTTTGCAATTGCGTTAATAACCGAACTGTTAATGACCCCACTATGCCATCAATTGCTAGATTGCAAAAGTGATGTGAAAGACCCAAGAAGAAAATTAGTGAGTGGAACTCAGTCAATATCGAAGTCCCCAGATGTTGGATTCATAAAAGAAATGTGTCAATGTTATCATCTGCAGGAACAAACTTAACAAGTTTTGGCAGGAGAATTAAGGGTATTCAACTGTAAAATCTGTTATAACAGAGGATGACCTGTAGATTTGCCAGTTTCTGAAGGCCAATAAAGTCTACTAAGAGCAATGGTGAAGAGTTATTCAATGAAAAATATGTAAAGTGAAATATGGACAGTTGC